CCTTTTGTAACCAACTGATACACTTTCTACAGCACGTAAAGAAGGATGTTGTGTTTGTTTTGAAAATAAAAAAAATTATCAAAAAAAAATAGTGAGATGGGGGGGCATATACATTTAATAAATAAATAAAGTTGTCAACTGCAAAGTAAACCCTACCTTGGCGGTTTTTTCGTATCCTTTTCGCTTGAAGAATTTGCTTTTTGCACTCGGCAATTTTTTCATGAGCTGCAGCTATGCTGTTTTCTTTCAAAGAAATAAAATCAATGAAATAAATTTATAAATCTCATAATATTACTGAACTATAAAAATTACACCAATCAGTATGTAGCAACATTATCCAAATTGATTTTCATCTCCAGAACTAAATAGATCAAGAAATTAAAATATGTTGCATTTTGTGATATTGTAATTACTGCCAAAGTACTCAGAACATTTGTCTGTGTGTCTATATGTGCTGAAGCTAGTTATTTCTATAAAATTGTGAGACAATTAGAAAAATCTGGTTCTAAGGTTGATTAGACATAATATAAATGTTTATCAGTCTGTAATCACAATCTTGGATAGCTTACTATGAAAACAAATTAAACTACTTACAATGAAGCAATAAAATGTATTAAAAACTATAGAAATGTAACAAAAGCAAAATTAATTAAAATGGAACAACTCAAAAGACCTGTGCTAAAAAAATACAGCTTCCACAAAAGTGAGATCAATGCAGCTGCCACTTCTAACATCAAGTCAACATTTTCAGCTAAGAGTGGGAACCAGTGAAGGTCTCGGAATTCTGACATGGTGATTTATCACTCAGTCAATTATCTGAAGTTTCCAGAATATTTTTAAAAGCAATTCCTACAAAATACTGTAGTAGACCAAATGGAAAGTTGCTTGATTATAGCTAGTGATGACCAGATACTATCACAGCTATTTAACTAGCTAAGCTAGTAAAAACTGATCTATATGGCATTTTATCATCTCTAATGACAAATAAATTAAAATCCACTAGGAAGGAACTGGATTTTAAAAAGTGTATACTTTCTTTGTAGCAACCTGAACATTTTTTCCATGTGAATCTTCTAGGATGCTATTTTAAGCAAAGGCAAAAAGGTTGCCTTTAGTATTTAGCTTTCAGTTTACAAGATAGAAATAAATCCATCTTATCCTCAGGAACAATTGTAAGAAAAAATTACACCTATGGTAATTAAAACATTCTATAGTACCAATAAGTCCAATAGAACTGCACAAAATATTTGAGGTTGTGCTCAACTGCTCCAATATCTAACTAAAAACATCTCAACCTGAACCATCCTTCAGAAGAGAAATGACTGGGGTTAGAATACTTCAACCCCAAAATCTATCATACACCTCATTTGGAATAATTCCTTTTTTAAAAAGAAGTTTGCATTTGACACTAATAATCAGAAAAAAATATTACCTATATCTTTGTAGATTTTTTCATAGTTCTCCATTTCTCTGAGATTCATGTCGTATACTAGTAAAGTTTTTCCCATTGAAAATTCACATTGTGAAAGAGTGCTGAGCATGCGCTGATACTGAGTATAGCTAAACAGCAGAGAAGGAACATATGGTATTAGTAGCTAATCAACAATTTCCAAAGGCACTATTCTTGGTACAATTAGAAGCAAGTTAAAATGAAGTAGATTTATTTTTATTTTCGCTAAAGATTCTAACTGAATTATGGCAGCAAATCTGAAGAATGACTGTGGCCAACAGTCTGAAAGGAATCAATTTGTGTATTAGTATCAAAAAAGGAAACTTAATAGAATGTGCAATCCTTAATTGTAGTTCCTTGATTGAGGTATTGTTTGCTTCTTGGTTGTTGATCTAATGTTAATCTTAATGTTAATTTCTGCTCATTTGGATACTGATTATCAGTAAGGAGGTGTTTTGGCTTTTTTTACTGTCTCTTTTGAATGGTATGTAGATCTTAGGAACTACCAACTCAAACAAGCTAATAGAAAGCACATAAGCTAACAATAAATTATAGCCAATCAAGACCACTCCCACCAATACTGACATGGCAACCTACTAGAATATAAAATGAGAGCAAGCTCTACTCTAAATGAGCACTGATGATACTACCTAGTTTGATTATAAAATGTCTGTAACACAACACAACCAAGCTCAGAGAGCAACAAGAATTCTGTAGTTCAACCCTG